CTTTCATTGTTATACAATCCCTCCCCCATAGTCTACTCCACTATGCAACCTTTGTTCTGGACTCCTGTCATGACAATGATACCGAATTATATATCCCTTTTAAACAGTTTTCTCCCTCATCGGTTTCTATACAGCATACATTATTTATACCCTTTCTAAGTTTCCCCTCAACCCCGATGTCAGTCCCATTTTACAACAGTGGCGCTATGCAATATTTGTCTTTTTGTGACTGAGATATTTCACTCAGCATAATGTTCTCCAGGGTCCCTCATTTTGTATATTTCATTAGTTGTTTTTCAATGCAGCATAGTATTCCATTGTGTGAATATACCACAGCTTCTCTATCCATTTCTTTGTTGATAGGTACTTGGGTTGTTTCCAACTCTTTGCTACTGTGAACAAAGCTGTGATAAACTGCTTGGGTGGCAGTTATGGTCTCTTTGGGGTATATTCCCAGTAGTGGAATTGCTGGGTCAAATGGTATTTCTATTTGCAACTTTTTGAGGAAGCGCCATACAGCCTTCCACAGGGGTTGCACCATTTTACACTCCCACCAACAGAGAATAAGGGTTCCAGTTTCTCCACAACCTCACCAGCATTTGTTGCTTGCTGTTCTGTTAAATTTTGCTATTCTTACTGGGATGAGATGGTATCTCATAGTTGTTTTGATTTGCATCTCTTAGTGCTAGGGATTTTGAGCATTTCTTCATGTATTTGTTTGCCATCTGAATGTCTTCTTTGAAGTGTCTGTTCATATGATCTTGTGCCCATTTTCAATTGGGTTACCTTTATCTTGTTGTGATGCTTAAGTATTTTACAAATTCTAGATATATGTCTCTTATCTGACATGTCATTACCAAATTATTTTTCCCCACTCTGTGGCTTCCCTTTTTACCCTGTTGGAGACGTTTTTTGGATGTGCATAGGGATTTGATTCTTAGAAGGTCCCCTTCATATATTTTATCCTCTCCTGGTTGTAGATTTTTCAAGATGCTTGGAAGACTGAGTTCTTCCAGACTTCTTGTGTGTGTGTGTGTGTGTGTGTGTGTGTGTGTATACTGTCAAATCAGATCTGACTGATACAGGAGATTGTCCCTCCTCCAGCAGAGCGAAACTTCTCTTTATGAAGTTTATAGTCCTTGGTTTTAGTCCTACGTCCATGATCCACTTTGGTTTTTTTGTATGGAGTCAGGTGTGGATCTTGCTTGAGTTTTCTAGATAGTTTTCCAATTTTGTCAACACCATTTGTTAAAATGGCTGTCATTTCCCCACTTAACTAATTTCATCTACTTGTCAAAAATCAGTTGACCATAGGTAGATGGGCCGATTTCTGGGTTCTCAATTCTATTCCATTGATCTATGTGTTTGTCCTTGTACCAGCACCACGCTGTCTTGACAGCCACGGCAGTGTAGTAGGATTTGAAATCAGGGAGTGAGATACCTCCTACCGTTCTTCTATTCTTAAGGAGTGCTTTGCTTATTCGGGGCCTTTTCCCATTCCATACGAAATTGGAGATTGCCTTTTCCATCTCATTGAAGAATGGAATTGGTATTTGTTTGGGTTTGCATTGATCGTGTCAATTGCCTTCGAGTGTATTGTCATTTTCACAATATTAAGTCTTCCTATCAATGAGCAAGGTACATTCTTCCATTTCTTTTTGTTTCTTGTAGTAATGTTTTGTAATTTTCTTTGAATAGATCCTTTGTGCTTCTGGTTAGATTTACTCCCAAGTACTTAATCTTGTGATTAACTATTGTGAAGGGTATTGTTTTTCTTATCTCCAGTTCTGTATTCTCTGTCACTGTAGAGAAATCCAATTGATTTTTGTACGTTGATCTTGTATCCTGCCCCTCTGATGAATTGGTCAACTATGTCTAGTAGTTTTCTTGCTGAGTCTTTATGCAAATCTAAGAGCCAATATTGTTCTCAATGGAAAGATATTAAAGGTATTCCCTTTGAGACAGGAACTAGGCAAGGATGTCCACTATCACCTCTCCTATTCAATATTGTATTAGAAGTCTTAGCGATTGCAGTAAGTCAAGAGAATAAAAGTATCCAAATTGGCAGAGAGGAGGTAAAATTATCTCTCTATGCAGATGATATGATAGTATACTTAGAAAACCCTAAAAACAACTTGAGTTTCACTCTGAGGGAACATCCTTTATGAGAAGTGGCATATGCCTATCTGCGTGGTCATCAGTATGTGTTTAGTGTTCCTTTCCAGGAACAACTGAGTTTGTGCTGCTCTCTCATGTGCATGCAGAATCTTCTTTACTTTTCAAAGTGACAATGACCCACATCCACCACACCCATGATGTAGGGAAGTGGAGTTTTTTTTAGTCTTCTAATTTTGAATGGTAATAAAGATTTTGCTCCAAAAGACAGATCAAGTGTTCATTTGTATCAGATTAAAAGAAATGTCTTTCTACTTTTTAAGAGTGTAGACAGTACCTTGTATACCAAAACCATCCCTGGGAAGCTATGAACACATTTTAGGGGTGGTTGTTGGGGTTTGGTGTTTTGTTGTTGTCTGGGAAAATAGTTATGAAAATGGACAAAGCCACTGAAGGCCTGAGGAATAGAACCCTGTGACATTCTATAAAGTTAATCATCATTTCAAAAGTTATAGTGTGATAAGGAAGCAGGAGATCAGGGGACAAACTGCATTGGGCAAGTCCACTTGTTAGGGACCGCTCCAAAATACTCATAAGCAATGATGCCAGTCTGAAGACTAAGGAGCACCTGATTCAGGCTATGGTCTTTACAATCACTTACTATGCATCTGAGAGCGGGACAATAAATGACAGAATTATTGATGCCTTTGAGTTGTGATGCTGGAGAATACTGAATATCCCATGGATTACCAAAAGAACAGGTATGTGTTGGAAAAAGTGCAGCCAGAGTGCTCTGTGGAGGGAAAGATGATGAAGCTTTATCTCTCATACTTGGAGCATGTTGCTAGGAGAGGCTATTCCTTGGGAAAGAACATCATGCTTGGAATGGTGGAGGGTCAGTGAAAGAGAGGAAGACTTGCAACAAGATGGATTGACACAGTAACTGCAGCAATGGGCTCAAGTATGTCAGAGGTGATGAGTATAGCACAAGATAGGACAGGGTTCACATCTGTTGTTCACAGGGTCGCTATAAGTTGTACTCAATGATACCTAACAACAGGCAGCATACCAAGTCCTGGAGCACCTAACAACAACAGTGTGATGAGGAATATTAAAGAAGTAGTATCACCTTCAAGGATTATATGAGCTCATCTTCAAGGATTATCGGTTCAAGAGACAACCAGAACTCATTCATTGCCCTTGGATTTGTAACATACAGGATAATTGTTATGTGCCATTGGGTGGAGAATGACTCACAGTAACCCCATAAAGAACCGGTTTTAACTGTAGTATCCTGCATCATCATTTCTTACACATTTGAATCTGTTGCTGTAGCCACTGTGTCAATCCACCTGGTTGATGGTTTCCTCTCTTACATGTAATTATTTCTCACTCGGAAACACCATTCATATCACTTCTTTGATTCTACCCTTCATGTTTTCCTGAGTCCTGGACATAAACTGCCCAATGTGTCAGCTCTTAGTTTTCTTGGGAAGGTGCTATCCAACTTGTAATACAGGCTTCCACCAGGTAGGGAGTTGTATTAATACATGACTCTGTATTAGTTGTATTAATACATGTTCTCACCTCACTGATCCAACCAGAGTCCACTTGGGACACACATTTGTCCCAAATAACTGTATCTAAATCCAGCGTCCGTTCTTTTTCTTTTTTTAACCTTTGATTTTTTTTTATGCCTTCCATTATTGAAAACACAAAGTATCAATAAAGTCAAAAGCAGAAAATAATTTGGTCATAAAAGGGTTAAGTGAGCTCACTGATGAGCTACAACCCCAAAACAGTGAGGTTATTGTTGAGGGCATTACTTCTGCGACACTACTTGACAGGTTTCAGAGATTAAAATATAACAAGTTTCAGAGATTAAATTGTAACAATCTCATAATATCTATAATCAGACCATAGCAGCAATTGTAACCATCCACAGCATTTTATTTTGGAAAGTTCTATGTATTCCATAGGTAATAGCACACCTCCTCTCACTCTTACCCCTCCAACAAAACAGGAAGATTATTTTTTAAAATAAAACAAACAAAACCTCTCTGCATATAAAAATTTAATTTCAGTAAAATCTTAAGTTAAAAAAACCCAACAAAACCCCCTGAAAATGGGGCCTTTCTCTTTCTAAGGAAAATTCCAGCTATCTTGGTGTTCACTACAGATTTCTTTTCTTCCTTGGGGGTGGGGGTGGATGGTCACTGCTTCTGCTTCCCCTTAATAAATTCTTTTCTTGATTATTACACATTATCATTCCCTACTTGACACCTCTTAGGAACTTTATTGTTGGATGCATTTTCCATTTGGCAAAAATTCAATGTGGCTTTGCGTGGGAGGTCTAAGTGTCAGAAACAGCAGTGTTGATGCTCTGGTTTTGAGGGAAAATATATATATAGACACATACACCCTTGGAAGAACAAATGTAGGAGACTGAAAGAGGGTGTGCACAGAGTTAAGCAGGCTGACAGACACTACTTCTTGGTTTTGAATTCCATGGCTGTCAGCCATCGAAGACTGCTGTGTAGGCCAGAATATCAATCCCTCCAGAAAGAAGTTCGGTTAGACTCCTGGACTGACGGAGTTCGGCTTCATTTTGTTCCAAGTGTAGGAAGGCAGACACACGTAAGGCAGTGCAATGTGCCTGAACATATATGCTCATTTCTGTAGATGCTCTGTCAACCTCAGCACTGAGGAGACAGACAAGGAGCATCCTCTTAAGTCATAAGATACATTTCCATATCCAACCCATCCAAGACCCCTTAGCTGATATTTCAAGACTAAAATGAAGTTTACATACAAGTCAGTCTAGTCCGTCTTTAGGGCCATTTTAGATGACCAAAGTCCCAGGTGTGCCCAGGCCGACAGCCACTCTAGCCAGAAGGATATGCCTTGATGATCTTCACATCATCCACTGGGCGGTCCTGAGAGTTTGTTTCCACCATTCCCACCCGATTCACCATTCCTATGCCCTGGCACACGCGGCCAAAAATGGTGTGTTTGCCATCAAGCCACTGGGTAGGAGCCAGGGTCAAAAAGAACTGGCTGCCATTGGTGTCTGGTCCTGCATTGGCCATTGCGAGAATTCCAGCTCCTGGTAAGAGAAAATGAAGAGAGGAGGGAGTATAGAGACTGAAGCTACTACAGCACCTTCAGAAATGAAAAGAAGCCAGGATTTTGTCCTGGCCTCTGTTATCGACCACCCAGACCCTGCCAACTTCCATTCACGGCAGCTCTCTACCTCTGCACAAAGGCTATCCCTGCATCCTCCTGATAATGTCCTCTTCTAGCTTCACTTACTGACTGTTTTCTGTCTCTAAAGATCTCTACTAGGGGAGCTCTGGTGGCCTAGTGGCAAGGAGCTGCAACTACAATCCCAGAGGAGAACGGTTCAAATCCACCAGATGCTCTGCCGGGGAAGGAGGGACAATCTCCTCCTGTACCAGTCAGATCTGATTTGACGGTACATGCACACAAAAATAATAAAATAAAAAAAAAGATCTCTACTAACCGCTAGGACCATTTCCGTACCTTCCCCAAGAACCCAAAAAGGTCTCCTGCTTCTCTGAGGGAGCTTTCAACAGCCAGCAGTTTATAACAGCAATATTCAACAAGTAGCCAGAGTCTAGAACATTCAGAACCACTTGGGACTTGGGGAGAGGCGCCACTTTCTCTAATCGGTCAGTGCTCTTTGTGGCGCCACAGCTGGGCAGCTGCTGGCACCCTGCCACGGTGTCAGACGTTGCATGCTGAACCACTGCCAAGACTGAGCTTTTAAAATCCATTTCCCCTTCCCACCCAGTCCAGCCAGATGATGCACTTACCCGTGAATTTCAAGTCTGGGTGAAGTTCATCTTCAAACTGCTTGCCGTAGATAGAAGCACCTCCTCGACCTAGCCAATGAGAAGATGAGAAATGAAAAGGCTGACCTCCCGATCTACCTCACAGCAAGGCCTGCAGCCCAAGGTCAAGATTTCAAAGAACAGAAAAACGGCGCAAGCTTGCCTCATCTCCTGCTAAGTACACTGTAACTCCACAATCTGCTGCTGGCAACACAATCAAACACTGACACAATACATTCAAATCACTGGTTTCGTTCCATTAAAATGCTTCTTTTCAAAATAAGCTCAGAATAGGATTCCCCCCCCAATTATTAAAATAATTCATGTTCCCTGTCAAAAATGTGGAAAACATAACATTATCAAAAGAATGTGAAAACCCCTATAATCTAACCATCTACAGGTAATCAGAAACCATGTTTGATGTATTAATTTGGAATTTTCTTCATTTCAAACACTTCTGTGAATATCTTCAAACTGCTTGCCATTTAGACAGGTATGTCCAAGTCCTAACCATGTGTCTTGTTATGTCATAGACAATGATACTTAATTAGCATTCTTTCCCTTAGATTTGCCTCTGAATCCTTACAGTACAGTTGAACACTATTTGCCATCCATAGCCTAAAAAATGGAAAAGAAAATTCATTTAAGTTAAAGAGATCAAGCTTAAAGAAAAATCAGGACAGCCGTAAGTGGCAATGTGGCAGAAAGGAATAATGTCATAGAAGGCAGAGTCGGCTGAGAGGAGAGAGAGAGTATGAGAAAATGAAGAGACGGGCTTGGGCATGATTCGTTAGCATCATCTTCATTTATGTGATGTTCTTAAGACCCTAGTGCTATGCTGGGCGCCCTAAGCACAGGCAGGCTTTGTGTTTAGAGAAAAGGTTTTCCCCACACAGAAAAATGATATCTTAGGAGATCATTTTCCTTGTCAGTGTTAGTCAGTTCTTAAAACCAACCAAACCACTGCCTTTCTGAAGTCATCATGTGTTGTTTGCTCTGTGAAACAGAATGCCATGTGATTAAGGCACTGTGCAAATACCATACAGAAGTCTGGTCTTCCCGTTTCTTTAAGAATCTTTTAACAAGCTTTAGGCTATATCAGTGATTATCAATGTGCTAAGAGGAATTAAGTTTTTTTAAAAAATTAAAATATCAAAATATATTTTTGAAAATGTAATGATTTCAAGCTGTTGTTGTTAGGTGCAACTGAGTCAGCTCCAAGTCACAGTGACACAATGAACAACAGATCTGAACCCTGTCCTATCCTGTGCCACCCTCACACTTCCTGATACACTAGAGTTCATCGCAGCAGTCACTGTGACAACCCACCTGTTTGAGGGTCTTCTTGTTAGTATTTATATAATCTAAGAAATATATATATATAAGTGATTGTAATAATTGGAATTGGTGGTGATGCTTTTATTAGGTACAACTCAGTCAGCTACAACTCATCGTGACACAATGAAGAACGGATCTTAACCCTGTCCTATCCTGTGCCCCTCCTAGCAACATGCCCTTAGTATGTGACGCGAAGACTCATCATTCTTGCCTCCAAAGAGCACTCTGGCTGCATCCTCTCCAAGACATATTTATTTGTTCTTTTGGCTGTCCGTGAGATGTTCAGTGCTTTTCTTCAACACCACAGCTTAAAGGAGTTAATTGTTCTTCTGTCATCCTTATTCACTGTAATCGGAAAAACCATGGCCTGAATCAGACACTTCTTAGTGCTCAAAATGACATCATTATTCCTCAAATATTTGGAGAGGTCCCTAACTGCAGACTTTCCCAGTGCAATACGTCTTCTAATTTCCTGAGTGCTAGTACCAAGCGTGTTAACTGTGGATCCAAATAAGATGAAGTTGCGGACAGTTTCAACCATTTTAAGAGTTCCTAATAAATTCACATTGTTAAATAAATCTATCAATCCCACTGTTTTTCTTTTCTTTTTTTGAGTGACTCAATTTTGTGTTTGGTCCTCAAGTCTTGTCATTAGCAATCTTCCCATATTTGATATGGTCCTTCTTGCATTTTCAGCAGCTTTGTGCTTCTGAGCAGAGCCAATCCTTTAATGGCTTGAAGAATTGTCTCTGTTTTTGAGGACTGTTAGGATTGTAAAGTGTGACATGTCTAAATTGTGAATAACAGCATTTACTGATTTTCTACCTTTGTGTTGCTTAATAACTTTTTGTTTTACCTCCAAATTGATAATTTCTCCTGCTTCTTTTGCTGTTGCTATCAGTAGCACTGGTTCTGCTGATTTTGGGAGCCATGATGCATTTGCACAGTATGATTTTCAAAAGAAAATTAAACAGAGATAATGACTGCTACAACACTCAAAAGACAATACACAATATATGAGACTGGATGCCACCACCTCCAAGTCCAAGCACATATTGTTAGAACATAAACTGTTTAGACAGAAAATTAGAGGCAGCCCCCAGGTTGCAAACAAGATCTATTCCCAATTAATTTCATCTCTACTAATTTGTCAAGGCTTTGAACAGGTTCTGCCTGGTCAAGGAAGCATCACTGGAACCAATTCGAATTTTCAAAGTTATGATGAACTGGAAAAATAGCCAGAATGAGGAAAATTACAGATTAAAGTCTTGCTAGAAATGTAGTCTCCCTCTTACAGAAGAAGGCCAGTGTATGCACTGTGTAGCAACCACAGTTCATGCCCTTTGACTTGGAGTAACCTGAAGCAGAGCCTCCCTACACAGAGGTGGTGGCTAACCAAAAGGTTTTGAAGGTTTGCTGTTCTCCTACTTCCCCAACAATATCCCAAACTCATCCATTAGCCTCCTGAAATGGCTCACTGTGCTTCTTCTAAATCCTATTCAAGGGTTCATCCCTTAATGTTCTCTCCTGGGTCCCTTGCTAAACTATAAACTGTTCCTATTGGTTTCATTGACCATGACCTGGTTTAAAGGGCAAGTAGGAACTGTCCATAATTTGACACACTGTGTGCTTAGTACATACATAAATAGGTATCTATTAGATTATCAAGACATATGTACCATATCATTAAATATACCTAGTTAGAACAACTAACTTTACATACAAGAGACATGTGTCTTTTGTGCAGCAAAGCAGCAGAATTCACTGTGTCCTGTTGTAGATTGAGATTTCTTCCTTTAGTTAGAACTTCCTGGGACCAGACATATATTCAGTCAAACATACCCGAATCGACATTATGTGGCACGTGACTTTACATCAGTTTCTACAAGTGAATCAAGTCAAAACCGCCTGGAACAAAATGAACAGCCGATTTATTTGCTGTTTTTGCTTGCCTGAAAAAAGCCTATGAGCAGGGAGCTGACTTCCCTTCACTGAAAGCTCCATGGCCACCCCCGGAGGTCCTTGGGAATTGCTAAGGTGTTTCCATGGTGAAAGGCCTTTGCTTTACCTTTTGGATGCTCTACCACCAGGGAACCTGTCACAGCTGATGCTCCAGGGCCCCATTTTCAGGAAGAAAACTGTTCTCATGCAAAAAAGAACGGGGGTGAATACTCACAAACCAGGAAACCTCCCACCTGCCCCAGGCTACCTATGCTTCTGGAAAATTACTGAATTATACCAAACTACGTAAAAAATTCATTCCAAAAATTCCAACAAGCCAGTATACTAGAAAATGGCTATTATGTAACCAGTGTTTCCTTTGACTTGGCCCCCTCTGCTGGGCCCTCCTGCAACCACTCAAAGTGAAGGTTTCTGCTTAAGGTTTCCCAGGGGCAGGGGCAGCACTAGGGCTGAAGCTGAGAGACTGAGCTTAGGGGCTGTGAAGTCAAACTCTACATGAGCTCAAGTGAGCAAGCGGAGGGCGGAGGGCTGAAGTGCAGCAGAGCATAGCTTCTGCAGGCCAAGTCTTCCAACTGTGATCCCTTCAATGTGAAGGCACTTGGGGCCTCAAAGTTTTGGCCTCTAGGAAATGAGCCATCATAGAAATTTCACAGCAAATAAGAAGTGGGTTAGGAAATAGACTGATGGAGTATCACCTAAGTTGGATTTTAGGAAACGAGATGAAAAGAAACGAGCATGCAGGCCCCTCTGGCTCACCAAGCGTAACCTGAATACAATTTTTGGGGGCTTTATAGACCATTTGCAGCTGGACAATGACTAGGGAGGAGAAAAAGAATCGATGCCTTTTAGCTGTGGTGTTGGAGAAGAATACTGAATATACCCATGGACTGCTAAGAAAACTGGAGAGAGTGAAGCCAGGCTACTTCTTGGAGGCAAGAATTCTGATGCTTCATCTGACATACTTCAGACACGTTGCCAGGAGGGACCAGTCCTTGGAGAGGGATGTCATGCTTGGGAGGGTGCAGCACAAGAAAGGAAGACCTTTGATGAGATGGATTGATTCAGTGCCTGGGGTAATGGGGGTAGGTGTGTCAGAGACAATAAGTTTGGCACAGGATAGAGCAGGTTTCAGGGCTATTGTACATAGGGCGGCTATGAGTTGCAAGCTACTCAATAGCAAATAACATCATAGACCATTTATTTACTCATAATATGTTATGTTTTCATAACCTAATACAACTCAGGAGGGTTTGCAGCAAAAAAGACAAAGAGTTCTAATCAAAACATCCCTTTGAGCATATGGAATAAGGGAGGGGGGTAGGGTGACAAGGAATGACTGAAGAGTTCTCTGGCACAGAGCACATGTCACAGCCTGTCAATGATCAGTTATAAAGATGATAATCTGGAAGCTTTGCATTCTCAAATTGCAGTGTGCATTCTTCACAAATATAATGAGGGGCACAAACTGTTTTCTAAGCTCTGTACTCTCCAGCTTATTCCACTCTTTTATCTTCTCTTTAAAAACCATTTACTCAATGTATATATCAAGCATATAAAAAAACCAGAAACAATATGATAAATAACTGTGATTTTGTATCCCATCACAAAATAAAAGTACTGTAAATATAGTTGAAAAGCTCAACACCTCTCCCATTTTCTCAAATGATTAACAACTGTTTCATCACATTTTTCCCCCTGAGGTAACCAGATTCTGACTGGAAGGTGCCATCGTATGCATTTTCCTTTTTATT